CCACAACCAAGATGATATGGAAATAACTGCATCTCATACTATTGCTGTTAATAACAATATTAATGGATTTGAGAGCCAAGAAGTGTCACATAAAAGCACTCAACAACCAAACTTGCATAGCGCGTTGTTGTCTTCTTGCAGAGATGAAAGAGATTCCCCGTGTACAAAAGACCTGAATGGTGAATATCATACAAAACCTAAGGAGAAGCCCAGCATTCCCTCTTCGGCTTCAGCAGCCTCAGCATTTCCTAGTGAGAAAGGAGGTATCAAAGTCCACAGTGGCACACCACCAGATTCCATTTATTCTGTCATACTTCCAGAAGAGGCTATGGATATGCAAGCACCACAGGATCTTGACCTTCCCACAGATAATTCTGTCCCTGTAAATAGTCAGCAGGATCTCATACCTCCAGAAAACCTGAAATCAAAGCAAGTCTCTATCATGCTTCCAAGGAACGGGCCCAGAGACTGCAGTGAAGAAAGTGGCGATTTGGCATCCCGTGTTTCACTTCCAATCCAGCAACCAGATTCTTTGATGGGTTCCTCAGATGCACGTAGTACTCAGAGAAACCAGCTATTGCAAGATGATTCATCTAGACATGAAGATTTAGCTACAGATTTAGGCTTGGCTGGAGCAAGCCTTGTTACAGTTTCTAACAAGGAATCGAAGGAAAATGAGGATCTGTCAGCTGAAGGGGAGACACCCGCAAAAGTTTTTCACATAAACTCTGAACAAACTAAACAACTTTTGGTCGGTGACAGACCAAGAGATCAAATAGATGCCACTCTTACACCTGAATTATCAGGTATTTTAAATGTTTGTTCAAAACTGAAAAATATTAGGAGGAAATCTGCAGTTCTCTCCGTTTCTGAAACGGCTTTTTCTGACCAGTTGCCCAAATCATCAATTCAGCCAGAGGATACCTTGAGGTTAGGAAAAAATACTGTAAGTGAACCACATGATTTATTTCATACCAAAGAGCAGGAGAACACATGTCTTGAATCTGGAGCTGCTCCCATAGATACAAATTTAAGCATAGCACTTAAGGATAAATATCAAGGAATAAATGTCCCTCTAGCTATCTTCCAGCCTAAATTACCAAACAGAAGAAATCCTTCTGTTTCTAGCGTACAAGACATAAATGCAAAAGCTTCAGACAAAGGAGAAGCACCAGCTTCAGAAGTAAGCATAAAGGCTGGTGAAACCCCAGGTAACAAGAAGTCTAGTAGGCAGAACTTCAGCCATTCTCAGTTTATAGCAGAAGAATTTCTTCCTGTCTGCCTAGAAGAAATGGATTCAAATGAATCTGTAAGCTCTGAACTTGTGGAAAATGCTTGCAATGAGATAAGCAAAAAACAAATCTCCCAAAACGAAAAGAATCAACTTGAAGAGACAAAAACTTGCAACACAAAAAGAACTTTGGAACAAGATGAGGAGGATCTTCAAAGTCCAAAGAAGCTCAAGAGGGATGAAAACTTGGATGGTGAGGCCTCCCAAGACTTGCAGGTGAGCCTAATCACTCATAAGGATACAGTGAACACTAGCAGCATTTTTGTTTCCATTTTGGGGTGTTAAGCAGATCTATTGATAGATTTTCTTGATTCTCTTAACCACCAGTTTGCTGTCATTTTGCTATGTCATCCCCTGTATTTTTCATTGTTTTGCCAAAATAGAAGAATCACCGTGATGTGTGCAACTTTCCAGAACCATGCAAAACAGACAGAATAAGGGATATGTCAATTTTAAATAATTCTCTCATTTTAATCCTTTCTCGAGTAAACATTCCTAGTCCTCTGAACTAAACTACTTGCTAGTTGTTGCTTAGGAACAATGATAGAGTAAGGCCTAAAGTAATTATTTAAAATCAATCCAAGCATGGATGTTAGCTTTATTTTTATAGACGGCACAAATTGCAGCTGACAAGAAAATCTGTGCAAATATGGAACATTAATATGACCTTAAAAATAGGTTGGTACATCATCAGTAGAAACTTTCTGGTTCCAGAAGCTAGAAGGGTATGCTGTGGTGGCTACTGCTTTGACTGAGAAATGGATGAAAGATTTTGCAGCTTTACTTCCAGATGTCATCATAGGAAATGGCTTAACTAGCCATACACTTGTTTGTCATGCTGATTAGATAGAAAACGTGCTGCTACTAAAAATGAAACGATTCTGAATGTCATCAAGAAACAGCTACGATAAACTACTGATCAACTTATTCTTGTATCGTTTCATATAACTCTTTTTTTTTTTTTTTAACTTGCTAATATTAGGTTACTTTTAGTGCTGTGTCTCAAAGCCAAGTAGAAGTTCATGAAGGTGAAGATCCTCCAAATCTATCGGCTAAAAGCCCTGATTGTACTCGTGCCAGCACTAGCAGCTCTCTGGATTCTGTTAAGGCTGACACAGAATTAACAAGTAAGACTTCCTTTGTGGTAATGGTTTCAAACCTTGTGTTCTTTACGTTTAATCGAGGAAGAGCCCCACCCATGGTATATATTTAATTTGGGAAAGGCCTTGAATGCCTGTGTCACAGCTTCCCACCCAGCCAGTCAACATGCTTTTATGTTCTGGCTAAAAGTCTAAGCCATTTAAGGAAAACTGAGATGGGAAGAAAAAGGAGCAGAATTTAAGTTCAGCTTTATTTTCAAGGGCAGGTTGGGCTGATGAGGCAATTTAGTTACCTTAGCACAGAGCAAAACCCCAACTCAAACTCTGCTGGCCCAAAGATGATTTTAAGCTGGTTCCACGCAGAATGAGTCCGCGTGTCTCCGCACTGCGCTCTTGGAGAAAGACTCCTTGGAGTGCTTTGCAGGGGACAGGCTGTAAGCAGATTCAGTTCCCAGCTTTAATTACCTCTTACTAATTAGCTGGTACCTAACAACGAAGCAGAAATCTGCCAATCATCTGATAAGGGATACCTTGCCTTTATTTACAAAAACAATTCCAGTTTTGGCCTCCTGCAACCATGAAAGCTTATGCCTTATCCACTAGAAGTTGGGCTCTGTCCTTTGTGTGAGAAACTAGCCCTTGTTGGCTCAGAACTTGAATGCCATGATTTTACCTTGAAAGCTGCTGCCAGCTCAGATGCTCTTTGGTCTCCATCTACGTAGGATGCTCGCTGTGAACTGGTTGGAGTCTCTTTCTCAGTTTTATTAGTTTTTAGTATGTTACATATGGCTTTCCTCCCATAGAAGGGTGAACTCTGTCATTTCATTACTGCTCTGACACGGATTTTATTGTACATTAGATTCTTAATCTAGTCCTCCTTATTTGTCCCAAGTAGTTGTTTTCTGTTACTTCTATTCAGCACTGGAAAAACACATAAAGGTCAACTCTACCTTAAAATTGCTTTTTTTTCTAGAGCTAATGAGCTCAGGTTCATATTTCTGTAAGAATGTTATTAACCCCAGCAATATCCCCCCCTTTTATTTTTTTTTCTGGCTAGTTCAGCGAAGCAGTCAGATGGAGTCTCAGCTTCTCACAGATAGCATTTGTGAAGATAACTTACGGGAGGTATGTAAATAGCTGAAAGATGCTAACTTCTTGTCCTAACAGGAAAAATACTTGTGCGTGTATATGCAAGTAAGCATTCTTGCTTGAAAAATGTACTTAACTGTACATTTTTCCTAATCTTTACAGAAATTTCAGAATGGTGTTATCACAGTTGGAGAGTTTTTTACACTTCTTCAAGTCCATGTTCCGATTCAGAAGCCCCGGCATAGCCACCTTCCAGCCAATGTGAGTAGCTGTCCCTTGATATGCATAATATAACTGACCTTAAGTTACATTCCTTTTTTTGTTGTTATTTTTAATTTTTATCAGCTAACCAGTCTGTATTAAAGGCCTTTACATGTGTTAAGACAGAAGTCAGTTCCACCTTGACAAGCATGTTAGACAGTGCATGCTTCCTCTTGTCTCTTTGCTTGTTCACCTCTGATAAGTCTGATGCTTTTTTTCCCTCAGCACTGAAAAACAGAATAGATTTCAATCTCTTCACAAAATATTATATGTTCAGGATTATCTGTTCTTGGATTAATATGCTAATTCTTGATTTTTGAACTTGTTTTAATGATAAGTTTGAAAGTAAGAACTAGAAGCTCAGTCAAATCTTTATCTTCTTACTATGTCCATCAGCCACTGAAATCAGAATCCTGAAATGCTACTCTGCACTCCTAGTACCTGTTCTACTCCCTTCTTCATAAGTGCTTCATCAGGACATTACTACTCTTTACTTCTTCCCCTTAAGTCTGTTCTACCTGAACCCAGTTTCAGTACCCTCATCCTGAAAGGTTTCTGTTGAATTCTTGCAGACATAGGAACAACTTTTTTTTGCATGCAGACAAGTACTACTCCGTGGTAGTAACTTGATGCTGAACAAGGCAGCGATCGCTTACTTTGCGGTCACCCTGAAAGCAGGGCCTTGTAATTTGTTTTCAGTAAAGGCACCTTATTTTCATATAAGCTTTCTGAAGACTAGTGTTTCAGACTTGGTTATTTGTACACATTCGTGTACCCAACTGAATTTCTAACTGGATGCTGGGGCTGGTCTCTGTTATCTGCCTGGATTTTGCAAATAATCTTTATAAGGAATGGTACTTATGTAATGAAGTAGTGTGAATGAGCTGCTTAGTTTTCTGTACGTAAGTATTATACTGCCATGGAAAAGTCTCAAGTTTCATAAACAGAGAAAGTTTGTTTGTAAGATTGCAATGCTTAGCATTTATTTAATAAAGCATGTGGGGATTTAGTTCAGATACTTCCATTTCCTGATGCTTACTACAGTTTCTACTGGCACAGTGAATAATGCACTGGGGCAATGGAAAAGCCACCCTGGAAAGTGGAAAACCTTAGCAGTGTCTGCATAATTTTGACACTGGTTTGGGAGATTCTTCTATGCCAGTACTTATTCTAGAGTGCTGGAAAACATTGCAGTAGCACGTTCAATGATAAATAAGTTCTAATGAGATTTGGTCTTCCTTCTTTCAAATGGGTAGCGGGACACCCGCTTTGGTAGGAATTTTTAATACGTCTTTATGATAATAAGTGTGAGAGTGAAGTAGCTGTTATGTATGAAAAGGTGTGGTCAAGATCATATTCTTCATGTGGAGAATGGTGTATTTGTGAAAATTCTTTACTTGTGAAATTCATTCTAGTCCTTCAGGTCAGTTGAAAACAGGCTTCTGTTCGTCTTACTGCTGTAAGATGTCACGTTATCAGGGCAAATATGTCAATAGAATATTCACATTAGAAATTTAGATATCTTCTTGGAAATAAGGACTGCAACTGTGGACCTTGTTTTGTTAGTTTGCAGAAAACCAGTGCATACAGGTGGTTTGATATGTTTGTGGGGCACTCGTGGTGGTGTGGTGTTCTGCCTTTCTTCATTGCCTCTTTGCTGACTGAATAAAATTTCTGTGTGTTAACTTGGCAAGAGCAAGTACAAAGTCTGATTAAAAAGAATCACAGCTAAACTAATATAAGTGGTATTGGTTAAATTGCTTCCTTTATGATTTTTAAATCTCTTCCATTTTTATTTAAAATGCTGTACTATCTTAGTTACAGTTAAGTTTATACTTTTAGTTTGAAAATTTATTCATGCTGAGCTGTCTCTAAATAATCATTATGCTTACAAAACTCTGATAACATTCATTAGTGACTGATCTCTGATAAAAAACAAACACCACCTCCACCCCCGAAAAGCTCCTGAAAGCTTTCTCTGAAGGGATGGAATTAATGTCAATTATTTAAGTGCTTCAATATATAGGCAGCTTGCTGAAATACCCACATCGTATTTATTTGAGGTGCCTGAGACTTGTTGAAAATTGGGAACTTTGATTCCAAATCAAGCACAGCTATCTTGTTTTATTCTAGCGCACTCTTGTTACCTGGATAATGTCCACTTGCTTTTCAAGTCTTCATCTAAAAGGAAGTTAAACTCTTACAATTTTTTTTGTTTTGTGGGTTTTTCAAGCTCTAGTGATGAGGCATATGTCCCAAAAGGAAGTCCCTGCTGAAATGTGAGGAAACATGGAGCATAGAAGTAGAATGAGCTATGTAAGGTTATATGACTGTGATTCTGTGTGATTCTGTGACTAACTTGTCTGATTCCATTCAGAGACAAGTCCAGAATGAAAACAATCGTTTAAATATGTCAGGCTGCCTCCATTAGGTTTTTTTTCCCCTTGTTCTGCAAAAATAAAGATTCTGGGCCTTTTACTGGTTTCTGTACATGAATTGATTGGAAGTTACTGTTTCTGAAAATTACGCATTTTTTTCCTTCACAATTCTTCCCTCTTTTTTTCCCCAGTGTGCAGTCAGTGCACCACCTACTCCAGAAGAACTCATGTACAGCCAATATGTTTATCGCCCCAAGCTGCGTATTTATGAAGAAGATTGCCAGGCCCTTTCTCAGATGATAGATGAGTAAGTGTTTTTTCAGTCACAGAGCATATTAGTAATTTTTTTTTTAAAGTTTGGGTTGCATGCAAAGTGGCCTGAAGAAAGTTAATACGTTAGATATAGGAAAAATAAAAAATGGTAGTTAACCTACTTTATGCTGGTAGCCAGTTTATTACAGATTTAGATGGTATAGGGCTAACTCCTGGGGAGCAGTTGTGGTTAGAGATAATTAAAGTTTGATTTTCCTCAAGTAATTTTTCTTTCACTAATAGTGTTGCAGTTGCACATCAGAAGAGTTAAGAGTAAAATTTTTAAAATTGTATCAGACATGATCAAACATAGAAAGCAGAATCATAACAGGTTACGATCTGTTGTTTGTTCCAATTTTCCAGTGTTTTTTCGACTGAAATACAGTTATCGTGATTTATTTTCTTATCTGAAGGACACTTCTGGTCTGATTCATTTTATGCCTTTTACAATTTATGTGCAAAATCAAGTTTTATGGTAAAATTCAAAATCAGTAGTAAGATGTTTCACAGCCTCATTAGCACCACTTCCTATTTCTTTAGCTCTCTAGCACTTCACCTCCTGTTCAGACGTGCCCTTAACAAAGTGGCTATAGGAAATTAACTTTGTATTATGTGCTAGAGTTTAACAAACATGGCCCCTACTTAATCAAGGCTTTAGAGGGTCTCTCCAAGAGGTGAGACCCAATTAAATGAAAATATTTACATTTCCATGTTTTAATTAGAAAAGGGGAATGAACTGTATCAATACCAATGGGCTGCTTCATGTGTTCAGTGCAGTTGCAACAAGACTTTCAACTTTTTTTCCATATTTCAGGTTAAAAGTGTATGCAAATGTCCAGGATCAACTCCTGGTGAACGTGAATAAGAGTTTGTGGGAAGTAATGAGAACCTGCTCTGATGAAGAGGTAATACTGCATGAAGAGATAATGTTGTTTCTTTATATAATGAAGTAAGGTTAATTTATGTATTCAAATAAAATAAGAACCAGAATGGTCACAGAATAATAGTAGGCAGGTGGGTGTTACAAGGCAAAATATTTTCTGAATAGAAAACTGCTATGAGAACTTCCAGTATGTCAGAAGAATGCGAGGATATGTGCCCTTTAAATATGTTAAAGGGAATATGTTGCTATAAAACAGAAGAACTTGATAATTCAAGTTGGTAATCAACTAGATTCCGGAAGAATTATACTTATGAACAATGAAAGCAGCTGGAACCCTTAGATAAGAATAACAAGTCTGAAAACTTATTATGCAAATCTCTACACACTGCAGTTAGAATGATACCACCTAGTGGAAACAGGCAGATGGCAAACATTCTAGAAAAAAGTTTCTGTACATTCCTCTGCAGCTTCTGGATTGACAGCTGTCAGAGAAAACATTGAACTGCATGATCTGTAGCTATGTTCTGTTAAAACAGGTTTTAAGTTGACTTCTTGCGTCTTGGGTTCTGCCTGGACTTCTGTGAGCACTTCAGTTAGCCTCCTTAACCGTAATGGGGCAAATGTTCTAAATACATGTCTCAAACAACGGGGATGAGACGTCTGGTGTACTTAATGAAGGTGCTCTGGTGTTTGGTAAAAGCATCTCTTTAGTTATTTGTGAGGCTCCCTATTTGAGTAAAGATCTTCTTGTATCTTTGCAAAGAAAAGTAGTAGGCAACTCTACTTGAATTAACAGGGATTGTCCCGTCTTAAATTGGATTTAATTTGCAAGTGTGATGTAATACTGCTACTAGAGCAATGGGATATTGGGAGAAGCAGAGAAGAGAGAAAGAGTCTAAAGGGTTGATTGAACAATCTTTTGTTGCACATTTCCATTCACTTTCTCTTCTGTATTTTCCATTCATTGCAGCTGAAGAACTTTGGAGCAGAATTGAACAAAATGAAATCCTATTTCACCAAGGAGAGCAAAATCATGGCTCACAACGAAAAAGTGACATTGTACAGCAAATTGCTGCAGAGTGCGCAGGTAATGTGCCACAAGGCTGTGGAGGTTTAGCTTTAAAAAAGGAACCTCTACCATATTTCGTCTGTCTTTGTCAAGTGTAGGAGCCTAATTATTGTATGTAAGTGTGAATTCTCTTGAACGTTTCCTTCTTATTAAATCTACTTCCCTTTCATTTACATGCAAACATAAAACACATTGGGACAGTGACTTTCTTGCATTTACACTATAGGAACCTCCTGCCTAAGGGTTTTGGCAATTAAAGTAAGAGTGAAAAATGGGAGTATTAAAGGAAATGCCATCTGAAATTATCTCTTTATACTGTAGTAATGTCAGTATTAGTAACTAACAAGGAAATGCAGAAGTAATGCATTGTGATAGGTATCAGAAATTTGTATGTGTTAAAAGCTCTAGGAATTTATTTATTTCCATGGCTTATCTCATCCCTTCATCAGAAAAGTCATTAGGAAGATACACTGTTAAGTATCTAGTACTTTCTTACACATGGCTACTGCCTTAGCATTTGCCAGTCTGCCTCTTTTTTCTAATGACAGATTATATCGGCTTCTTTAATTAGTTTATTAGCAAGCAAAGATTCACATAGTGGTCCCAGAAGACAATTCAGCTTTTTAAAAATTGTTGTTGACTTGAGCACAATTTTCACATCTTAGGAACAACACGGAAAACTACAGTCAAGAATAGAAAAGGTGGATGAATTGCTCAAGGAGGCAGAGAGCTGTCTTGTTGATCTGGAAGCAGGTATGTGTTTCCAAACTGGTGACTGATATGATGTTTTCTCTATTTTTCTGCAGAGCTGCTGTTTAAATGGTCAGTTCAACATTTTGTGTTTGGTGGTTGCTTGGAATTTTACAATTCCTTTGCTACCAGTATTTGTTAGGCCTAAATGCCTTCATTTGTGCCTGCAAACTTGTCTTGTGGGAATCACACATACATCCTGTGAAGACTAGGAGTGACGACTAGGCTGAAATACAGAATTATAGTTGTTGTAGCCTACGAACGTGTAACCACGCTGGCTAAATCTGGTAGCGATAACAGTACAGCTGCAGGCCGCACGCAATTCGAAACGGCTGCAAAACCTACCAGCTATCCTGCAGGTAGGCAAGACTAAGCTTTGCGCTCCAGGACTATACCGTTTTCAGCATCGTAGCTGGATGGTTTAAAACTTGTTCAGCTGTGTTCACACAAGCTGCAGTCAGTACTTGGCGTTGCTGCATAATGATGCTCTGTGTATTTTCGCTTCTTCCAACTGAATTTTCTTCCGATGCCTGAAGTAGAAATCAAATTGCACAGTAGCAGCTTTGAAACAATGCAATAAAAGGAGTCATCCTTGTGTACCTGTTACTTTTGGAGGTTTTTGGTAGATACCCTTCTGGCTTTTTGTACATTTTTCTTAATTATCTTTGAAATACTAAGATTTCTAGAATCCACAGACCAATAAAATGGTATTGGAAGTATTGAATCTGGGAGTTCTACAGAGACCTGATACTTCTTTCCTATAGATTCTGACTGGGATGAATGTGAAGCAGACTGCAGTGATGAAACGGCAGAAGGGAAAAACCTAGAGGCAGGTAATGGTACCAGCTGAATGGCACTTTTTGTTGTTGTTTAAATTCTGGAGAGGGTGATACTCAACCCCCACACTGATTATATTAACAGTGATATGGATGCAAACACAACTGTTTTCTTTTCTGCATTGGAATATAGCTAATTACATGGGTGTTAAAATACGAAAAGGACTGTTTTTCCCCTGGAAAAATGGAGTTTAGAACTTGGTACAGTGTGACTTGGAGAGTGTGTGCTGGCTATCATATTCAGCACTTCAATTGTTTAATAACTACTAACCTTTGTTGGCCACGTATCTGTATCCAGGTAGGAGTAACAGCCATCAAGTTGAGATCTTTCATATTAAGCACAGTGACTGCACAGCAAGTTAGGGCTTTCTTTGCTGCTCTTGTCTCTCACTGCTGCTTTTCTTTTCCCTTTCTCTTAGAATTTGAAAGTCTCAAAGCCCAAGAAGAAGAACTTCAAAGGTAAGATGTCAAAGAGGATCTAAAGACCTTAAATAACATGTGCAATCAGGTTTTAGAAGGTTGGTGGTTTTTTAACCAGTGTGCTACATCTCATGTGGTTGGTTTATCTTTGCAGAGAACTGTCAGAACTGGAGACTCAGAATGAGCAAATGCTTGCTCAGATGAACCATCTAAAGGAAGAAGAAAAAAGCTGCCAGGAACTCCTGGAGAGATACAAGTAAGGAAAAGACCTTCAGGCTTTATTTTTATCAGCTAGTTCTGGGGCCTCACATTCATATATAAACCTTTTTTGTTTTGGTTTTCCTTGTTATTTGATTTGGGAAATCTTTGGATGCCTGTCTCCTTGCAGCCTAGGATAAGCAATAAAGCCTCAGCAAACTTCCATGTGTGATGCACTGTTTTTCTGTTAACAACTCTGCAGTGATACTCTACGTTCAGTCTATCTACATGCAACTCTCTTCCAATTCCAAACTGAACGTTTATGTAAAATGAACAGTATTATGCCTGCGTTCCCAACAGATTCTTTCACCCTGTTGAAAAGTGAAAATTTCGTTTAATTAATTGTGGTAACAGCTGCAAGTGCACTTAATATGCTGATCTTTGTCCTTCACATAATTGTTTCAGTTGGTTGAAACTTAGGGTGATGGTGGTTTTTTCCTCCCCTTTTTAGCTTCACTGAGTGGGAGATTACTGAATGGAGTGAACAGCAGGCTGTCTTTAATTTTCTATACGATTCTATTGAACTCACAGTTGTGTTTGGACCCCCAATAGGTAAGTTGCAAAACTGGTAGTTTCAGTTTTATCAATTTGAAAGGTTGAAAAGTTACATAATAGAAATATAAAGTTTCTATATTTGTGAAGATCTGCTAAAAGGAAATAGAAAACATACTACAGAAGGAGGGTGTAAGCTGAGGGAGGTGGCTTTGAATATGTTTATCAGTGCTTTCTATGAAAATTCAGAAAAGTATATAATGAATGGCTGTTTCTGAAGAAGAGCTGTAACTCCAGAACTAAGTATGGAAATCACTACTGCTTGGGTTTTATCTTTTTTTTTCTCCTTTTCTTCTCAGATGGTGATGTTTTTGGTGAAGATCCTTCCAGAAAGATAGTTAGCCTGAACTTTGAATCTTTCTTGGATGGTAAGATTTTTTGAGTAGCTTGAAAGTAGCTGCCCTGGTTATCATTTCTTGGGAAGACATCTGTAAATTTGTGGTTTATCTGAGAATGCATTACAAAATGGCTATTAAAAGATTTCTGGCAACATGTTTTTGTTTTGTGTTACAGAGGATAAAGCTCCACCCTCCTCACGTTTAGTCCAAAGACTCATTTTCCAGTTTATTGAAAGTCGGGGATGCTGGCAAGAAAAGTGTCCCACACTGTACTACTTGCCCCAGGTAGTGTTCCAGAAAAGCCTGTAAGACTCTGGAAAAACATTAGTCTTTCCTGTCACAGAGAATAGGGCTGATACTGAGAACAAAAGCATCTTAATGAATGTTTCATCAATGCAAATCAAAATCTGCTTCACAAATATTCTGAGGTGCAAGCGCAAGTACCTGTCCCCAAAAGCAAGAGTCCTAAAAGCTGTGGTTTCTTCCTTGTTTGCTGCATTAATGTCTGCCTGTCCTTGTGATTTCTTAAAATCCTTTTTCTTCTGCTAATAGAAATTAAAGAATTGAGTGGAATGCCATTCTGCTTCCTAAAGAATTAACGGTTTAAATTGCCAAGCCAAACTTGGTGTTCCTGCATGTCTGTGTACCCCTGATGACAAAGCTGAAAGCAGAAACTTGGGGGGGAAAAAAGTATATTTGTTGTTATGCTTGTACAATTTCATTTTCACATCCAAAATGAGATAGCAGTTAAGTTACTTTTTTTTAATATAAATTAATTACTTTTTTTTTTAATACTTTCTAGGATAAACTGCATTTTCAAGTGTCACAAAGTTTACCAGCCAGAGTGCCAATGTGATTGCTTTTCTGATTGCCCACTTAGGTTCTTCATGACGTCTCCCTGGTTGTGAGTCATTGCAAGATCTTAGGAGAGGAGATTGAATTTCTGGAGAGATGGGGTGGAAAATTTAATCTTCTGAAGACCGATATCAATGACACAAAGTGAGTAACTTCAGACAGAGTTTACACCAGCCCTTCAGAGAGTATTTCTAGATAATCAGAAACAAAACACTGAAATATTTTAAATTTGTTTTTCTTGAAATTGAGATTTTGCGCAACTATTTTTAACAACAGTATAATTTATTTTCATACAATTGCACTGTAATATCCAAGTGCATGGATATTAAGCTGTTCTTGGATTCAGTCACTTCCTTACTACCATGTAATCTCTCCTTCATTGCCACTTTCCTGTTTGACTTGACTCTCTAACTTAAAACTTCAGGCCAGAGCTTAGCAATGCAAAGGAAACAGAGCCAAGAGTTTACCTGTATCTTAGTGCTTTGTTTCTTTTAGTCTTCTATTTGCTTCAGCCAAGCAGAATCAGTCATTGAAGGATGAATGCACTTAAACTAAAGTTTATTTTCTTTAGTTTTCGTTTTCTCATACTACTTCCCACTTCTGTGGCATGTCCCAATGGAACAAGATAAATACTACTTCACCTTATCCTTCTGTTTTTGATGTAGTTCCTTAACCAAGAAGTGCCCAGTCAGCCTTGCTCTGCATGCCTTGGTGCTGTTCCCATAGGTTATTCTAATTTTGTAGTACCCTTTGCAAGAGTGGTGTTGTACTACATGCCAAAAATCCCATAGAAGTTATAGTTAGTTAAGTCAACAGAAGGGATACAAGGGCAGCCTGTGCTCAGGAAGTTGCAAATTGTGGGAGATTGCCCTGGAAAAGACCTGTATTGTGCTTGTTCTAGTTGATGTTATCCTAAAGCATCTGGTTCCTGGGCTTTGTGTCCTTGGTGATGGTCTTACCCATATTTACAATAAAATTCAACTCTGGCCTTCCTGCACTTTGTCATAGACAAGAGTACCATGCTAGGTAGAAATGTGGCCTGAATTAAATAGGGTTGAATTAATGAAGTGATCTTAGAATGATGGAATTGAAGGTAAATCAGTCCTACTTAAAACTTCAGAAAACTTTACCTGCCTAGGAATATTTTATGTTAGCTATAAAACGTATTTTTTATTATTACTCTATATTCCCCCATAATTTTTGAAAGGTTCTGTGAACTATGTGTGTACTAACTTTTTCTGTGAGGAAAGTTGGGGGTTTGTATTCTAACTCAGTGTTAGAATGCTGATAGTATTGGAGTAGAAAGGTTCTTTTAACTGTATTTATGAAGATACTGTTAATCTATGCTGTACTCTTTAGATGCTATTGAGCTTGTTGCATCAATTATAACATTTGTTTTTGCTTCTGGAACCTAATTCAAAGGTGGTAGCAGTATGTTTGAATATTTTGTATTTTTTTGTTTCACATACAGAGTGAAGCTTTTGTTCTCCGCTTCCATAGCTTTTGCCAAGTTTGAGTTGACCCTGTCTCTGTCTGACGACTACCCATCTGCTTCACTGCCTTTTACTGTCCAAAAACAAATTGGGAATATTGGGTGAGTTGAATGGAAAGAACCATTCCATATGACTTAAGTTTCAACGCTAGGGATGGGGAATTAAATGTTCCATATCCTCTCAAACGTGTGATCATTTTATCTTTCCCAGGGAGGAGGAAATTTCTGCTGTTCTCTCCAATGTACCAACTGGTTACCACTATCTGCGGAGAATAGTCAGCTTTATTCATCAAAATTTGCTCCAGGATCCCAGATGATTCACTAGATCCACATGCAGGACTGAAGAAGTCAGACTGGATATTCTTTGATTTTAGTATTGTAAGAATTCAACCTGTCTCTCACCAGAATGGGAGTGCTGTTAGCTACTCAGCTCTTTAGTAATCTTGTCTAATAACTGGTTGATATCCAGGATGCTTGGTGTAGACCAAAAGTTTTTATAAAAGCGGAGTTCTCTAAAGAGGAGAAGGAAGAATTTCTTACATCTTTTATAAATCCAATCTGCCATTTATCTTCTTTCAGTCAACAGTGGTCTTGGCCTTCTTGTACAGTCTTTTCCTAGTATGGATATTCTTCTGACATAGCATGTTAATTTTGTTCTGGGTTGACTTACAGAGTTCTTGTATAAAACAACAATGAGTATTTTCTAAATTAGTGTGGCTGAAATTTACTTTCACTATCATTACTTCACTACTGTGTAGCATTTTAACATATCACATCATGTTTGATTTTTATCAGTTTCCTGGAACCCCTCTCAAAACACAGAAACTGCAGTCCTGCTTCTGATTAACCAAATAACCTGTAATAATTAACCAGGTGGCCAAAGTCAGAAATACTTTTGTCATGAAGACTGAAGACCCCTGTGCATGACCATAGACTTTGTGGTGTAAGAGACTCAAAGCCACCAGGTTCCACCTGCGTGATCCTCTCTAACTAGAAGTTTGTTCTGATATTCAGTGTCCTTGTCCAGTACAATCTGTCTCTTGGTTCTGGTACGTTGTCTGACTTTGTAATGCGTTAGAATTCTAGTGAGGAGACAGCTATTTAAATTTAGGCGGTACCTGTAATATCCTTGGTGCAGTCTAGATTGCTTTTGTATATATTTTGCATATTATGTAGGCTGAGCTGTGGGAACTGGTCTAACCCTGACTGAGTTTATCGTGTAGAAGTGCCTACCATTTCTCAACTGTCCGTTCTGTAGGCAGATGCAAAATTTTTGTATCTCTGTAAAATATGTTGAGTTTAAAAATGTTTTCTGGTGTTTAAGTGTTCATATATTTTTGTCTTTTTACAAATTTTCCTTCTATTTGGAAGGTGGAATTTCATTAAACATTTGAATTATTGCTCTTCCTCAGGTTGTGATTGTTGGCTGCTCTTGTGACTGAAAATTTGCCTACAACTATGGGAATAACTTTGTTAGCTATTTGAAGGCGCTTTTCATAATATAAAATTATTTTTTGTCCTTGCATTTCCTAGTGTTAGCCTTCTATGACCTGACTTTTGCAGAAGATTTTTTTTTTTTTTTTTTTAGTAGGAAAATAGTGCCTAAGTTGCAAATGACTTGGGTATTATACCTGGAATTACTTTTAAATTTCCTAAGGTAGTTGTATCAGCATTATTAACCAGTAGAGGGTGCTGCAGCAGTACTTCATGAGCATTATCCAGCTTCACCTTTTTTATTTGTCTGGGTTCGTTTCCTTTCACCTATTTACAAGCTAAAGAATCCAATAAGTATGAAGACTGAAGTGAGTTTTTGGTAGAGTTTATTACATTGCTCTGGGTACTGAATCAAAGCAGCAGATGAAACAGCAAAACAAAGCCATGCATTTGCAGTAGAGAAAGGGGATTAGGCAGAAATTAAGCAGTTCCTTTTTTGTATTTAATTTATATTTGTACTTGACACTCTTACTTAAACTCCCCCCAGGACATTAGGACTTAAAGATCATAACATCTCTCATCTATAGGACTTGATGTATTACTGTTAAAATTTTCATAGAGATAATATATTTACAAAAACTGTATTACTTTGCAAGCCAAATTTTGATGAGAATGCCATTACTAAAGCTTTTCATACACAGTGCTTATGGTAACCATCACTCAGTCATAAAGCTGGATGTATAATATTAGAGAACTCTTATTTCCTTTAACGATCCACAGTGATTCATGGAGTAAAGCTCAGATTCGGTATCAAGTTATGGCTGTACCAATTCTAAGGATGGGGGAAAAGGTAAGGGAGAAGAAATTAATTATGTTTCAAGAATTAATTTACTTTTCTAGGGGAAAAAGTCTATACATGATGATTCTTATTTCATATTTGGTAATATAATACTAGCTGTGAAAGTGAGCACTGCCGTATTTTCATACAAAGTTGGAATGTTTTGACTATGGCTTTCTTTAATGATTAATTAATGGGTATCAATAATAGTGCACATTGGGGTTTTTTGCATTTAATTTAAAGCACCTGTTCTTTTAAATTTGGAGATCATCCATGAGCACTTATACCCTGGCATAAGTGTGAATCACAGGAGAATGTCAACCACATCCAAGTTCTAGTATGTTATGAGAAAAGGATCTTCTATGGTCCTTCAAGTATTGCTGACTTAAGACTGATATCTTTCTGTATATATAAATGCAAAAGCCTCTTGTGATCTCTGTTTTGTCTCTTAAATGCATAATAAATTCTTTAGCTCATTGGCAAAAGATTAAATAATGAGAATGCAAATTATTGTGCGTTATTAGTAAAATTTTGCTTTCGTGTTCCCAACCTTAGTTTTCATGGGAAACATTCCAAAACCTGGACAGAGGATAGGAACACTAGTGGAGATAATTCCATTTAAACATATGGCAATGCTTTGAGGAATGCCCAAAAGTAAACTGAGTGATTGATCAGTTTTGCAATCTAGAGTAAGATGAAAGGATAGTCTAGCACTACAGCAAGTGTTTGGCTAACTTGGGAACTGAAATAAAATTCTGGTATTGAATTAGCTTATTTGCTGTACCTCTGTCTCCAAGTCTGGGGCATCTAGCACTTGCAAACCAGGTTCTTTAAAGGGCATCATTGCTTCACATTGTTGAAATAGCTTCGTGTTTCTAAACCCAAACTCTGCAAAATACCTAGTAATTTCTCTCCTTGCAGCTCTCGTGCTACTTCAGTTGCAGTGACAGAAGCTAGTAACGCCAACGTTTGATATCCCAGTGTTTCCAAGAACTACGGGGGGAAAAAAGACTTCTGAGTGGGAAACAATTTCTAAATAGGATATTTATACAAGATATGCCACTCTGAAGATATAGCAGGTAAATGCAAATTGTTAGGTATGGAAGATTTAGTTACATTTAACAGCTTAGAGTTGTACACAAGCTCATCTGCTTTAATTCTAGTAGCTTTTATTTGTGAGGTTTTGGAATACACGATGATTGGATTTAAGTCAGTCAGAGGACCATAAAATGTATTTCCTTGGGTATGAGACTCTGAAGTGCTCAGTGTATTTCATCCTATACTGTGCACTTGGATAGCTAAATATACTTAGGAGTTCTATAGAGACTGATAAAATTTCCTTTGATATTCTTTTATTTGTCATGCTAAGTCACTTGAAGTTCCCTTCAGGCTGTTACGGGATCTTAGAATTAAAAAAGCCATCTTCTGCCTTCACTTGTACACTGCTCTTAACATTCCTTGACCCTAGAATGCAAACGGTTACAGGATTTCAATTATGAATGCCAGTGACATGCTGTTCTGTCAGCTTCTGCTGCCGGCTTAGCGAAGTTCAGTAATGAGCATCACACATACACTATTCCAACAGCCTGCAGACATCTTGGGCTGGGCTTGCTTGTTTTATAAGAAGAAAATTAGGATTATTTTCCGAATGCTTCCTCCTTCTAAGTATTTTTCCTCACTCCCTGCTGTATGGCCTGTGACTGCAACGAATGTTCCATTTTTCTCTGAACTTGAAACCTAGTTTTGGGAAAAAAGGGGCTCATGCCTTCCACATTGCTTGTTCTGAAAACCCCCGGTGTGGCTTTGCAGTGCTAAAACGTACTGTGCAAACAGTCCTTACACTCACAACTCTATAATCTAAGTATCTATGTATTTTGAGTGTTTATTGACATGTGTTGTCATGTCACAGACACACATGCCTTATCACTTAAGGCCAGGCAACCTATTTTTCTTTGTGCAGCATCTGTTACGGGTAGGATGGTTCGTGCCCGCATGCAAGTACCAAAGTTGGAGCACATCCAACGGCTGCAGTTCTCTTGCTGGACTCATTTATTGCTGGAAGCTTCTCTTCAGCTATTGTCTTCAGTCTGATCACCCCTCTACCTTCCAGGACAGCTTACAGAGCTTTGCCAAAGGATTCTCGTAGAATTACTTTTCATCCTCGTACAACCTGTAAATACCACATCTCTCACTGCCAGCCCGCATGATCATGTAAACATGGATTCATGGCAGACTGGGAGATGGAACTGCAGAACTTCCTGC